GCGTTTACTTAACTGATGAGAGCTGATGTGTGCTGACCTGTAGTCTGGACATTGCATAATTATTCTAAATAATATTTCCTGAATAAGTTTGAATGTGATACATTTGTAAGACTGGAAAATATCAATCCTTACCACACTGTAGTTTTTGTCAGATTTCACCAGTGCAAGAGGTAGACTCCAAAACGGACCATCTGTGTTTGAGACTTGGTGACCTGAAGAGCATGTAATTTGGTGTGACATCTGTCCCTGGAATATCTTCAAAAGCAACAACATAGAGACTGCTAGTATCAATTTTTACTGAATTTAAAGATAACCTCAATTTCAGCAATACCTGCTACTGTATATTTAATATTAAGTAATACCTCTGAAGCAACAGGATTGTGCAGACGGGTCAGAATCTTCTCAAAGTACTCAGCAGCATCTTGTTGTTCATACACTATTTTTAAAAGAGATTAAAAAAAACTCATGTTTTTCTTTCTCTGAAAACTACAATGACAATATTGATCTTCAGAAAACTGACTTGTTGGTCACCTTTTACCTTGTCAAGAGGTTAAAAAAAAGAAACACTCAAAACCATGGGAGGTTAGGGGTACTGGGGATGCCACAGCACCCCCACATCAAGGGATGGAACCCCTACCTCTAAATGGCTGAAAATGTTATTTATTCAATTTTTGTGTGTGTGTGTTTTAGTGCATTTCATATAGTCCTAACCTTTCCCACACAAATACCCCCTGCCCCAGTTTTTTTTTTCTTCTTCAATGACCAGACCTCCATCTGAAAACACATTCCCTTGGCTATGGAAACACCCAATAGGAACAGGAATGGGAGCTGGGACTAGCTCATTGTGCTCTGTTTTGGGGGTTGAATTTATCCTGTTGTGTTAACATGTCATGTGCACAACATGCAGATACCACCTAAAACTAATGCAGGCTAATACAGCAGTCCTGCAATAAATCCTCTTTCATGAAAGTGAAAATTCTTTTTTTGTTTGTTTCAGAGAGCTATTGAATCAAATGTGTGATCAGTTTAGAGGTTGTAGTGTGTGCTGTTGTTGAACTAGACTGCATTAAGATGAAAGGGATTTTTATTATTGTCAAAACAACAGCACATGCCCAAGATAATAACATGGTTGGTGTACTGTAATAAACTGAGTGTAAATGACATATTTAAGGTAACTCGTACATATGACTTAAAAGGTAAAGTGAGCTAATTTGCCAAAGAATGCATTTATGTTTACTGTACCTGTGTAGATGCCCAACGCCTCTGTGATTTTATTAGTTGTTGCTGTCACCTAAGTGACTAAACAACTCTTTAAGAGGTCCATCAATGTACTCAGAATCACATCTGCCCCTGCAGAAAGTAAACACATAACTGGCCATGAGTGAAACAGAAATGCAATGAAACCTCAGTTCAGTTGAAACAAAGATCAACATTACCTTGGTGTTGTAACAAACCTTTCCACAGCCTTTCTGAACTCTTTGGTCATGAACAACACCTGTAGCACGCTGTTCAAGTAACATGTTGCTCCTTGGTTCCTCAAGCCATGGTACCTCAAGCCATGGTACCTAACTTTAGCTGCATTACCTGGTGGGAAGTTAACAATTCAAGTTAATGAATGTAAATTGTAATACAGTTCTTGTAGGGTATAAATTCTGTGGATGATAAATTGGTATTAGAACACGTTTATTACCCCCAGTGTAATCAGGTGGACAGCGGGAACTCATTTCTATTCCACAAAATTCCATCTTCGTCGAGATCGACCGCTTTTTCAACAAATTGATATAGCAGATTAGAAAAGACAAACACAAAGGCAAGACAGAAGAAAAACGTGAACCTACCTTCAGCTGGAAGTTAAAGGCATTTCCACTGTTAAATATTCAGTTCTTTTTGTATTGCTGCACAAATAAACGAGTTTGAGCCCTGGAGGCAAACGCCGGAATACTTTCTCTTTCGCTTGGTGACTCTCCTACTGAGATGCTGCATTCAATACCCTGTCGGAAATATTGGAATTGTGATAAGCTTGTTCACAGGACACCACAAGGTTAGGCTTACTTTAGTAACGCCATTAAAACAATGCATGCCAGAAACTGGCTATTTTTAAATAATAACACACGGAATAAT